TTTGGGGACTGGGTTTGCTTAATACTCCCTCTTCAATGACCAGCCCAATAATGCAAAGCACCTTCATGAACACCTCAATTGACCACTAGCAATTCCTCTTCCAAAGAATTGTCTCTTGGTGACAAAACAAATTGAGTAGTTCTACAAGGCCCTGCTGCCATCTTATGTCATGGGATGTTGCTATAAAAAGAGGAGTACAGTCATACTATAACCAACTTCTCTTTGTTTGGAACACGGTATCCAAACTTAACAGCTTGGCAGATTGTATTAATAAATCACAGTGAGCCCTCATTTTAAATTGGCTCTGTGCTGAGGGCGTAATTTTGTATGATTGCACCCAGTAAGGAACAGTGAGGTTGATTTCTTTAGAAATCCAAAGCTTCTGATTTACTCAACCTTAAAAGCCAAAAGTATTGCAGCTGCTATTTACTTTTGTAAGTAGAGACACTTCTTTCATTCATGCAGTAATTTAAAGCATAAAATTATTTTTCAGTGTAGCCACTTTAAGAATAAAGACAGCACTACAGAATGCTTCTGAATTCTTTAAAAGCTTTCTTGGGTTTTTCTTTCAGTTTCCAGTGTTTTGTTTGAAAAATAAGGAACATGTTGTTGTGATGAAGACTGTTTTGAAGTCTAAACTAGAGGACAAAATAAATTTTTACAGAAAGTGGGAGAGAGGTCAGATAACAAAAAGGTGTCACAAATGTTTTTTGGTTCACTGTCTCTGGGGTAATCCACATCAAAATGTAGGCTAGTTTTTATTTAGTTAATTAAATAACTGAATAGATCAGTTGTGTTCAGCTTATGCTCCTGTCCGCAAAGGCCATTCCACACACTGCCCACATACTTATTGCAAGCTGGGTGTGTGCTGCTCTTGGCTCTCACACTGTGTGTGTGTGTGAGAGATGTGCGTGGCCGTGCACGCACACACCCAGCTTGTGTGTGCAGGAGTCTCAGGAGTTCCTGAGCACAGCGCCAGGAGCATCCACCTCACACACCAGGAAGGGCACAAGTCAGCTCAGGCAAGGCTTGCTCTGGTCCCACAGCCTGGTGGCAGCCTAAGAATGCCAGAGATTTGGGAAAAGCCGTGACCTGAAACCCAGGGATCCCTTACAGCACATTTGCTTGCCATCAGGGTCTTGATGAAAAATGTGAACTTCCCAACCTCATTTGCACCAGAGGGAAAAAAGATTTTGGCTTGCTTGTGGCAGCTAATAGGAAAAAAAAAAAATCTCAGCAAGGTTTAGGCAGTTTGCAAAAGGCTCTTAGGAAAATTATCAAAATAAATAGAAACTTCCCATAACGGCAGAAAATGCTTACATCAAAATGTAACTCTGAAGTTACTGACTGGGTCCTTTCATGCATTAGAGACTTATAGATTCTTCTGAAAATTATGCTAGGCTTTTCTAATGTACATTTTAAGGTCTAATCAGTGTCCCATAGCATGGTGTGTGCCTGGCAGTACTGAGTCTATATTTCATCTCAGAAGCTGATAATGGATCATCTGCAACTGACTGATGTCAACAGTGAGAAATGCTAATGGGAAGCAAGTTAATGTGGTCATTTAACGACGTCTTTATACTGAAATAAACTTAGATTTCCATGTAAATGTGAAAAAAAGTGAAAAAGTGAAGATGTAACAGTGAGAATCTAAATATTTTAAGATGTCCAGTATATTAATTTTGCGCTGTCTTTTGGGTCAGGAAAGAGTGATAGATCATTCTTCTCTTGTGCTGAATATTTTTAATGCCAAATTTGCTCTTAAATTTTAATATTTTCCCCTATTTATGTTGTTATTATTCAGTCTTCTAACTTTAGTAAGTGTCAGATTTCAGATTTTCTTTAATTCTGCCATTATTTCAGAGTCTTCTAGTTTAAGTTTTTATCCTTCTCCCTCCACCCCCAGTACTTCCAGAAGAGAACTGGACTGTCATGAGCTAACAAATCTCTGTGTAGGGCCAGAAGTTTTATTTAACATGAATTTCCGCCTTGGTTATTTTATCAGGCTGCAATCAGACCTTCCATCACAGTCTTTTGGCAGTGTCTTGCCAGAGACATTGTACTGATGGCACATTGTGCTCATGTGTGTATGGATGTGGCTCTACAAAACTACACGTCAGGCAGGGGCTTCATCCTCCAGTTTGAAAGGACCCCCAGTAGCAGGCAGTGAAAGCATTGCCATGTGTCTTATGAAGTAATGTCGTATTTTTTCCTCCAAGCTCAATTTTGGTCATCTGCTTGAATACTGAGCTGCTCAGGGACCCTGGGTGTTGCAAAAATACACTAATTACATGCTATCATACCCATGCAGTTGGCTTGTTGTGCAGTGTTTTTCTGCGATGCTGCCATGTATCTGACTGGCCTTGCTCACTGAGCAAGGAATGTGAAGCTGTTTTTTAGATGCAGTTTCCTGCTGTGTGCTGGGGCAATGTGCTTATGTCCCCCAAAATCCTTGCTGTGGCTGTGGTAATGGTGTAGCACCTCTGACTCTTGTCTGCCTGTCCCTTATCTTAGCTGTGGTTGGTGCTTACTATCTTCTCTATTTCCTGTACACTAGATAATTAGTCCCTGCAATTTGTATCTTTGTGTAAAAATCCTTCAGTTGCTAATCCACCAAAAAAGCTAAGTGTATTTTTAGAAATCCTGGGATTTTACTTGTTCCACCAGTGGATTTAAATTTTTAAAAGATAGCTATTTTGAAATAGCTATGAAATGATGAAAAGTCCTCGTTTTCATAAAACAAAATACTGACTATGCATTCTTTATCAATATAATATGGAAATGATGTTAATTCAGTATTTTGACAGTTATACAGTGCTAAAGCTTGTAGAAAATAAGTTATGAGAAAATAAGGTCTGACAATAGGCAGGAAGGAAAGTGTTAAGTTTTTTTAAAGCATGAAGTGTGTGAAGTAATTTGAGGGATTCAGACATGAGATCTACCTGGGCAAGTACTCTGTCTTTGACAGCGACCAATAAAAGATAAAGGAAAAAAACCTAACATGTTTCCCCTGGGTATGTTTACTGAACTTCCAGACACTCATGGCTTAGGCAGCTCTTGAGATAGAGTGTCTTTTCATGCCTAGTTACCTTTTGTGCATTTTTTTTTTCATCAGAAGACATGTCTACAATTTTCTTTAATTTATGTAAACTTTCCTGTACACAATACCTAGGCACAATGAGTTCTGAAGTTAAAGCGCATATAATTCAAAAAGACACTTCTTTTTTCTTTGATCTCTGAACATCTTATTTGATGCTCCTAGTTTCTAAATTATGATTTTGTAGACCTTTATTTCATCCTTTGATTTTGTTCTTCCAGGCTGAAGACTTCTGGTCTATACACTGTTTTCTTGTCCAAATGCCTTTTCTGCCTTGAGTGGTGTTGCTGTTCTCTGCATCCTCCTCTGTACCTTGTTCTTCTATATGTTCCTGGAAACATCCTAGAAGCATATTGATGCGATGAGGGATTTCTCCTTGAACAAAGATTTCTCATTCATATATAAAGTGATTCCTCTCCATTCTAATGACTGCTTTCCCTCTTTCTTTGTGTCTGTCATGCATTTTACATGAATGAGTTTGAGTCTTAGGATTTTCTGCCATTTATAACTGTTTTTATTTTCTCTTATGTTCATTTGTACCTATAATAGTTCTTGGCAGATTACCATGCATTTCTGAAAAAGGCGATTTTCTCCTTTTTCTGCGGCTCTTTTTCAAGCTGTTTATATGTCTGAATTTACTAGGGCTGATCCAGAGTTTAGTATTACTTTGAGTGTGTGAGTCATAATCAACAATTTTAGGCTGCAGTTAAGAATGGTCCATTGAATCCATTAGCAAGGAACTGATGTGAAAAGGAAGATAGAAATACTATAAAATTACTTCCGTATGCAGGAAAAGAAGCTTATTCCTGAAAAAAAGAAAAACCAAGCTAATGGATGCACATTAGCAAACAGGTAAGTGCCCAGGAAATACTGAATAAAGAATTTTAGACTTTCCTTGTGTTGTGGTTTGACACTGACCCCACACCAGGCACCCACCAGAGTTACTCGCTCACCCTCCCCTGCCTCAGCTGGGCAAAGGAGAGAAAAGGGAAAAAAGGAAGTTAAAAAAGGCTTCACGAGTGAGATAAGGACTGGGATAAATATTTCAAGGGCAAAAGAGGCTCAATTTTAGTTGTAAAGGAATTTATTACTCACAGAATCAGAGGAGGATAATGAGAAATAAAAGAAGCTCTTAAAACGTTTTCTCCCCCAAGCCCCTCCCTGTTTCCCATCCACGGCGCAGGGAGACAGGGCCTGGGGGTTTTGGTCAGTTCAGCACCGAGATTTTCCTCCGCTGCTCGGGGAGAGGAGTCCTTACCCCGGGAGCCCGTGGGTCTCTCCCACAGGACACGGCTCTCGGGAGCTGCCCTGGCGTGGGGCCGCTCTCCGAGCAGCAGCCGAACCTCAGCTGCTGCAGCGGGAGCTGCCCCGCGGGCAGCCAGCGCTGCCACAGCTGCTGCGTGTGGGCCTTTCCTCCCAGGGCTGCGGCCTGCAGGGACAGCCTGCCCCGGCCTGCGAGCAGCGCCCTCCCTTTCCCCGGGCCTCCCACTGGATCACGGCCTCCTCCAGGCATCCACCGCTCCGGCGTGGGCACCTCCCCACGGGCTGCGGCTGGATCTCTGCATCCCCATGGATCCCCACAGATCCCCACGGATCCCCACGGGCTGCGGCTGGATCTCTGCATCCCCATGGATCCCCATGGATCCCCATGGATCCCCATGGATCCCCACGGGCTGCGGCTGCATCTCTGCATCCCCATGGATCCCGACAGATCCCCACGGGCTGTGGCTGCATCTCTGCATCCCCATGGATCCCCACAGATCCCCACGGGCTGTGGCTGGATCTTTGCATTCCCATGAATCCCCGTGGATCCCCAGGGGCTGCAGGACACAGCTGCATCACCATGGTCTCACCACTGCCTGCAGAGGAATCTTGGCTTCAGTGCCTGGAGCACCTCCTTAGCTCCTTCTCCACGGACCTTGGTGTCTCCATGTTGTTTCCCTGACATGTTCTCACCTCCTCCTCTTCTCTGACTAGAAGCAAAGACTTGTGACTGTTTTGATTTTGTTCTTAAATATGTCATCACAGAGGCATTACCAGCCTCTGTCACTGGCCCAGCCTTGGCCAGCAGCATGTCCATCCCCAGAGCCACCAGGGACTGGATCTGCCGGACATGGTGGAAGCTTCCAGCAGTTCCTCACAGGAGTCATCTCTGTGACCTCTGTGCCTCCCAAAAACGGGCTGTGCCACACCAATACACTTGGCAACGTGGATTTTCTTTGTAATGAGTTGTAGGGATCACTTCTCAGTATGGAGAGTAAGCAAACAGCAATATTTGACTGTTTTGGTTTGTTTTTACAGAATAATCATAACTCAGACTGGATCAAAGATAAGTTTAATGAACCAGGGACTTCATTAAACATTCTGCATTCCATATCTCATGACTGGAGTAAAAAGACTTTCAAGTTCTTTGAGGAGAAAATGTGTCGGCCCTCTATAGGACAGCCTCAGAATCCCAGCTGGGCTTGGTACCATAGGGCCAAGATTATACAAAGCAAAAATAATCTTCATCCCTTCCACTGTGCCTATATCTCTGCTTCAAAAAAGTTTAATGATTCACATATTTGTGCTTAGTTGTACAAACCGATTTATATTTTATCCTTTTCTCCCTTATACTCTTTGAATTTTCTTTTTCTTACATTCTTACAACAGTAATATTAAAACATTATAGGTGTGTGTGTGTGCGCGCTAGTTTTTTCTTCTTGGTCGAGAGCTTAAACAGTAGAAAACATTTTGTTCTCCTTCTGTCAAGAAAGAGCAGTTGTTCTTGCTTTGTAGTCCAGTCTAACTTGTGTGCATAGGGGACTTGAGGGAAGAGGAGAATTCCTGTAAGACTAGATTCATTTTACCACAGCTAACAGAAGAACAGGGAGGGTCAGAATGGGGACTGTTGTTTCTGAATGATGATGTCTATGCAAAAATACCTCTTCAAGACCAGTTTTCAATCAGTATTTATCGCTGAATCCTTAGTGGCAGAAGCAGCAGCCAGTCTGGTGTTCTGGAGCCTTGCTGGAGGCAATGCAGGACCAATCATGATTTATTGTCACCTTTTACAACCTGTTATCCTGCCTGAAAGCTGAAGTTGCCTACAGCGCAACCCTGCAACACTTTGTCAGAGTACAAGTATTGTGTTCTGCAGCCCTTCCCCAGCAAATCTGGATCACCTGACAATATAAAGCAAGTCGGATCACAGATTGTTAGTGCAAGAGAGAACATTTGTGGAGTTTCCAATAGAAACTGTAGTGATCTTATGGAAACCCAAACTTACTCTGATGGACTTTCGAAAAGAAAATCGAACTACTGCATTTCATAAATTTGTTTGGGTGCAGAAGTGAACTAGATGATTGGATCACTGTAGAGAAGCTGCTTTTGTGCCAATTGACAGTTGAAATTAGGTAGAAAATTGCTCAGAGGACTGGAATTTAGTTACACAAATTTAAAATTAAAAGAACATTTTGTACTTTATGAAGGAAAACATATCTGTAACATTTGGTACAAGCTAACATTAGTCAGGGTAATTAAATTGAATGTTTTTAAAGATTAATAGATGTTTTACTTCAAGTGCTTTAGCAAGCACAGAGCTAGGAGGAAAAAAGCATTGCTCTTCTATGTTTTCTACTTTCATGTGTTCTGGTACATTAATTTGCCAGGGTCAGAGAAGTGGCTGGTTGGGTGGATTCTTCTCATTTCAGGTAGTTTTCATAAGCAAATTACTGTGCTAAGGGGATAAATCCCATCTTTGCAAGTCATCTAAGAATTTAAAAATAGGTCTGACTGAAACAGTATTTTCAGTTCTAAGAGAAATACTGATTTATTATTTACCTTGGAAATAACCAGAAAGATTAACAAAAAAACCCCAAAAAACAATGGAAAACCTAATCCTGTCCCCCATGCTATTTGCAGAATTTTTCATTGTAAGAAAAATTATTGACACCTTCACATAGAAAGAGAAGCTGTATAAAGCTGTTTTCCTGTATTTCTTACCTTCCAGGCTCATAGAAAGTCATGTACACATCAAAACGCTGAGGCCAGTGGGAATGGTGTCAAGCCAAGCTCTACAGCATGCCATGGGGAGCTGGAGCTGTGACCTCTGAGACAGGGGAGGTGATTCTTGCAGTCAGTTTGGGGAAACTGGGATTTAAGAACCTTTTGGAATCGTCAACATCTGTGTCCTCTGTGCAGTCAAGTAGGATCCCACAGCTGCTTAATGAAACCCCTATGAGCCTGCCTGCTCACAACAAATCCCCAGCACAACAGTCAGCACAGTTACAGTGGAAGAAATGAGGTAAGCCCCACTGGTGAGCATGTGGCCCTTGCTGCATGTGAGGTAAAACAGTTTCTCTGCTGTTTCGCTTTGTAATTTTAAATCTCAGCTGTATTTTTTATTCAGTTCTTATCTTTACAAAAGCATATAAATATAATACCTCTGTGATCACTGACATTTTAAAGATGCTGAAAAGAAGTTTAGTCTGTGGAGCTGAAAGAACTCTCACTCACCCTGTCAGGTCTTGCAGTGGCATCACTTTGGCTGATGCCTCACAAAAATATCTGATTACATGATGATGCCTCACAAAAATATCTGATTACATGAAGAAAGTCTCAAAATGGTGGTATCCCATTACATGGCATCACGTATTCCCCACAGGCATATGGTAACTGGCCAGGCCTCTCCTTTTACTTGGGAGCTTGTACTATGTCAAGAAAATCCCAAAACAAAGCACTTCATGCAGAATTTGGAGATAAATGATAGCAAAACAGGCTTTTATCCCCATCTCGTAAGGTGTTTTCAGAAGCCAAGCACAAGTTAGCCCACAGAATAGCAGGCATAGATAATAATAAGAAAAATTTCTGCTCTATAGAATTTACTATATAAATTAGGCCAGTAACAGTATGAACACTGACAATAGGCCATGCTAGATAAGATGGGGTGATTGTGGTAAGTGCTTTTGAAAGCAGTTTTATTAAAAGACATAGATCTTATTTTGTCTGATAGGTGGCTTATTTGGTTTGATTTCTTTTTTGCTTTTTTGTTTTGGTAAAAGCCCTTATTTTTTCCCTTTGTGTTTTTAATGGGCAGGCAATAGAGTGGGAGTAGGCTGTGCTACTGACAGAAGTGAGCAGAGGAAAACTCATTTTCTGGAATCAGTAGTTACAGGGGGATCAAGTCAGGCCACAGAACTCATCCTGGCAAGCGGAACTTGTTCTCACGCAACCCAGTCTTCTGAGTGAAAAGTCTTTCCATTTGGAGTATTGCATGCTGATGCATTCTGTGTTTGGCCCTCTAACAGTGATGAGTTCAGAAAGGAGTCAGGGAAATGTGTTTGCAGCAGTCTTGTTACAAGGGCAGCATAAAATATCAGATTTCCCAGCCCAGAGAATCAGCAAAAGGGACAACAAAAGATTCGATAGGAGATAGGTAGCATTACTTGGAATCAGCCCTGTTAATCCACTATGAAGTGAAAAAGAGACAGCATTTGAGGTCTAAATAGCAAAATTACAAAATAGAGGATTAATTGTTTTGAACACTGGGTATGGAGAGAAAAGATACTTGGTAAGCACTAGTCTATTAGGAAATGTAGGAATTGAAAGTAGCAGTTCCAAAGAGATGGAAGTGTAGGCCAATTAATACCTGCAGATGTAATCACTGTACCATATTTTAAATCAATTCACCTTTGTAGAAAATGTATGTGGATCTTGAAAATATTTTTATGTAGGCAGTTCAGAAAGTGAGATTGAAGTTGTGTGCTCCTTATCTGACAAGTATATAAGGACAATCACTAAAAGAGGTCAAAATTGGTGTCTCTTTCATAATTTGGACTATTAACATTTTTATTTTAAAATATTTTAGAAATATTTTAGAAATAAATTTTGATGCAAGTACAGAAGTTAATGCAAATTTAAAAATGACAAATATTTGCTGATGAAGAATAAAAAAATCAGACATGAATTTTCACAAGAAAATGGAGATAATGTTAACAGAACTGGCCAAAATAGAGGTGTTTCAAAATCAACATGCATTTCCAAAAGGAGAAATTTTAATGATGGAGCACTAGTGAAGTAAGCATGTGGCTGGAGATTTTTCAGACCTCTGAATTTAAAACTTCTTCTGGACTTGATCATATTCCTCCTGGGTTCAGTAAATTTATTTTGACATTCAGAGCAGAGGGGTGGGGTAGAAACCTGTTAGTTAAAAATTTTTATTATGGAGAATCAGAAATGAATACTCATTACTGAACTATGGGAGATTAGTCAGCAAGCAGCTGCTTTGACCTTGGAATGCAAAGACACAGGAATGTGTGGGAGTCAGGGAGAACTCTGACATGGCTTGACTGACATCCACCTACTCCTGTAGGTTTGTTTGAGATGCACATTCTGTCTTCCTTTGGAAATCAATCTTTTAGGAACCTGTTTTCTTGGAATGCAATGTCTTAAGTTGCTCTGCAGGAAGGGGATAGGCTATGAGGAGCAAATGGGAAGTTTATAAGATCATTCATGTTACACAGCAGCCAAGAGACAAAAAAATACCCATGTCAACTATTATGAGTTCAGTAAACTCCTAATGATTGACTGTGACATTGATTTTAATATGTAAATTAAGGCAAATGTGTTTAGTGTCAGGGGAGAAGAATGAAAGTGAGAATCAGTTATGATTAAAAATCTGATACTGCAGCTGGGAAGGAAAGGTATTCCACTGTCAGTGGGAGGCATGGATGACAGAAATGTGTAAAGAGTGCAAATGAAGAAATGTGTATGCTGTGTTTTGTAAAGAGGAATGAGACATGGAATGAATGCAAAAAGGAAAATATAAGAACTGTTGTCTTTAGAGTAACATATATAGTATTGGTCTGTGAAGTAAATAAGCTTAGCACATGTATCTGTAGGCTCCTTACATTCTACAGAAATCAGTATTCAAATAACAAAAAAGAACAATGAAAAAATTGTCTTTTAATTTTCTGGTTTATGTAACTGTAAGTACTATTAGAATTTGGATAGAATTCCTATGGTGATCTGAATTTATTATGCTGCCCTGAAAGGTTCCAAATGTGAATTGCTGCAAAGTGAAATTAAATTGTGTTGCTTTCAAATATATAAGTATATATAATACAAAAATAGAAATATCAGGAATAATGTTATTTTTGTGCTACTCACTGGAATTATGTTAAGGAATT